AATAATAAAAGGAGAAGAAATTAGGAGGGAGTAGGTCAGGGCATGGGAGGAGTGGCATGGGCATACAATACTCACATATACAATTCTCAAAAATAAAAGTAAAATAAAATACTTGAAAAGTGGTGCATACAACTAAACAGAACTCTGAAAAGAAGAAATATAAATGGCTGAGATACTATTAAAACAATGTTCAACTTTCTTAATGCACCAGAGAAATAAAAATTAAAAGCATTTAGAGATTTCATTTTATACTAATCTGAATGGTTAAGATTCAGAAAACAAATGACAACAAATATTGGCATGGATGTGGCAAAAGGGGAACCCCTTTCCACTCCTGGTGGCAGTGGAAACTGATTTAGCCACCATGGAAATCAAGGTGGAGGGGCCCCAAAAATCCAGAAATAGGGGCTGGAGAAATAGGGGCTGGAGAAATAGGGGCTGGAGAGATATTTCAGCGGTTAAGGACACTGGTTGTTCTTGCAGACAACGCGGGTTCAAATCCCAGCACCCACATGGCAGCTAACAACTGTCCGTAACTCAAGTTCCAGGGCATCTGACAGCCTCTTCTGACCTCCATGGGCATTGCATGACACGGGTGCACTGACCTACATGCAGGCAACACATGCTTACATATAAAATAGAAATAATAAATAATTTTTAAAAGTTTTTTTTAAAAAAAAGTTAGGAATAGATCTCCCACATGATCCAGCTGTAATATCCCACTTCAGAAATATGTATTAATCCATGTCCATGACTCCTCTACTCATAAGAGCCAGGAAATGGAAATAGCCTAGAGGTCCATCAGTTATTGGGTGAATAAGAAAAAATGTGGTACATTTCCACAATGTTGTATTTTAAAATATTTAGAAAAAAGGGACTGGAGAGATGGCTCAGTGGTTCAGAACACTGACCTTTCTTGCAGAAGGCCCGGGTTTGAATTCCAGCACCCACGTGGCAGCTAACAACTGTTCATAACTCCAGTTCCAGGGGATCTGACAGCCTCTTCTGTCCTCTGCAGGCATTGCACCACATGAGTGCACTTGCCTGCATGCAGGCAATACATGCATACACATAAAATAAAAATAAATTAAATACTTAGAAAAACAAAACTATGAAATTCACAGATGAATTGGAACCAGAAGCAATCATTCTGATGAAGGTAACTCACATCCATAAAGACAAATAGCACATGTTTTCTGTCATATTTGGATGTTATCTTTGGATATAGGTATATGTTTCATTTGGAATACCATTAGTGGTTTTGAAACCAGTAAGAGGTTATGAGTGTTGGGGCATCTTTTAAGAGAAGGGAGACTGAATACAGTCATATAATGGGGAAAGGGGGAATAACAACAGAGAAAGGATGAAAGTGGAATTTGCGTGGGTAGGTTGGGGTAGAGGAGGGCAAATGGAAACCTACTATTGTAGAATCTCTCTAAAATATATACTTGTTCATTTATAAAAAGAATTTAAATGGGCTTACCCTATAATAGAGGGATAACACTCAAACTAGACATTTCTTCTTAGCAAAGAAAAACCTTGGTACCAGGAAAGGTTACCTCCCTTTGAGTTTTTGGCCAGTAGAATACCTTGACCCTCCAAACATTATAGGCTATTGGCACTGGTGTTTGGTATCACCAGAAATTTACAGTAAGACACTATTTCTGAAGACAGCACATACTTGAATCCTAAAACATGAAGAAATCAAGCAAGTGCTGACATGAAATCTTCATTCCTACTCATCAGAATTTATAGTACTAGAAGGTGCTAAACGTCCTACCAGAGGAGAAAAGCAATATTTCTACCTGTAAACCCTGCAAGCTACAAAAATGACTGAGTTCTCATATATGCCCACTAGTGCAATAGTGGCATTATTATTAGGGGGAATTCCCCTGGTTCTGCTTGAATATAAAGCTTACTGCAGAGGTTGAAAACCATACCTGCCACCATAACTGGTGCCAAGAACCTATGGCTAAATTGGTCATGGGCCCTGGGGAAGAATCTTCTACAATATTCTATTAAATGGACATCATATTACAATGACACCTAACAACTCCTTGTTGCATTCATTGATTAGTGAGTCTCACAACTCTCTTGGAAGAAGTTTGTTCTTGGAATAAAGGGTAGTTATCACAGAGATCCACAAACGCTCAACATGCAGAGAATAAAAGGCTGCAGAGTGCTCAGCCCTAAATGAATCATTTACATAACAGCCTTCCCCACAAGACTTGGGGACTTCTCAGAATAGGGAGTAGAAAACATGCTAAGTGCCAGAGGTGGTAGATGACTAACAGGTAATAGTGTTTTCTAGACAACACAGCAGTTGCACATATAAACTCACCATGCTTCTGATAACATGCACAAGGCCAAGTCAAGCTCAAGCCAGACAAAATCTTATCACAAAATGGAGAGTTGGACATGAGGTCCCATCTTTAAGAAACTATTGGCATTTGGTAGCTGCTAGGAGAGAAACAGTGATTTAGAATATTGTATCAATTTTCCTATATTTGTTGAGGCTTCGTTTCTATCCTAATATGTGGTCGATTTTGATGAAAGTTCCATGGATTTAAAATAAGAAAGTGTATTCTTTAGAATTCCTGTGGAATGCTCTGCAGAAGCCAGTTATATCTATTGGATTGAAAATGTCATTTAATTTCAGAGTTTCTCTGTTTAGTTTCTGTCTGGTTATAAGAGTGGTATATTGAAGTCACCCATTATTACTGTGTTGTGGTCAAACTTTGGATTTAGATCTACTAGTATTTCCTTTATGAAGCCTCATGTCCCTGATTTTTGTGTAAATGTTTAGAATTGCAACATCTTGTTTGAGAATTTATTCTTTAACTAGTCTCTTCTGGCTAATTTTGGTTTGAATGTTTTTTGTTACATATTAGAACAACTATGCCTTCTTCTTTCTTGGTTCCATTTGCTTGACAAACAATTTTCCTTCCTTTCACCATATGGTAACATCTATCATTGATGGTGAGGTATGTTTCCTGGAGGCAGCACAAAGATAGATCCTCTTTTCTAACTCAATAATTTATGCAGGTCTTTTTATTATGGACCAGAGACTACTAATATTGAGATCTATTGATCAGTATTCATTAATTCCTGCTATGTTGGTGTTGTAGTTTTGTTTTCTTAGACCTCTTTTGATTAGCTGTTCTGGAGATGTTTACTTTTTTCCTTTTGTGCTCTTGGGTGTGTTTGATCTCTTCAGACTGACATATTCCTTCTTGTATCCACTGTAGAACTGGCCTAGTGGACATAAATTCCTTAAATCTATTTTTATCATGATTTTTTTTCTTTCTCCTTTAGTTACACCTACTAGTTTTGCTTGATATAATAGTCTTGGCTGGAATCTCTGTTCTTTCATGGCTTGCAGGACATCAAAGCAAACCATTTTCAATTTCATAGTTTCTGCTGAAAAAAAAAACTGTTCTTGTTCTTCTGATGGGCCTTGCCTTTATATGTGACTTTATCTTTCTTTCTTGTACCTTTCAACATCCTTTCTTTGTTCTATACATTTCATCTTTTGACTATAATATGAGATGGGAGGTTTCTTTTCTTGTCCAGTTGATTTAGTGTTCTATATGCCCCTTGAACCTTGACAGATAACAATTTATACAGATTTGGCAAATTCTGTTTTTTAAAAATATTTTATTATTTTTATTTTATGTGTACAACTGTATTGTATACATGTATGTGAGTGAACTCATGACGTATAATGCTTGTGGAGGTCAGGAGATGATGTCAAATCCCCTGGAACTGGAGTTACTGATAATTGTTAGCTGCCATGTGGGTGTGGGGAAATGAACACAGGTCCTCTGCAAGAGCAGTCAGTGCTCTCAACCACTGAGTCAACTCTTCAACTCCTAGATTTGGCCGATTTTCTCGTAAGATTTTATTGAAAATATTTTCTGTACCTTTGCCCTGGATTTCTTCTCCTTCTTATAAACCTAAGTTTGGTATTTTTAAAGTGTTGTAGAGTTGTTGCATGTTCCATGCCTGTGTTATTTTAAATTTATCATTTTCTTTGATTTAGTGATCTATTTTCTTTGCTGTGTCTTTTATATTTGAAGGGAAAGGGACAACTATGATCCAGAGAACTTACTGTACTCAGGGTCTACCCAGGATGTCTGGTACCAGCTAGGCCTGTGAGTGTGGGACCATGAAAATTGGGACTAAGATCTGGGAAACTCTCTGTGCTTTTGGCTGCTTAACAGGCTACACAACCCCAGCTAGGCCTGAGAGTTTCAGATGGTAGGGAAGGAGATGGGAGGCTAAGGTCTGGGAATGTATGCTAGTATTCTATGATTTACACAGTTCCAATCTTCT